GTTGTGTTGCTTAATTTTCAGTTGCCGTCAGAAGTCGCTGTGTGGCTGTCATGGACAGAACTTCAGGTCTGTTTTCCTCACACCTGTCATTCATCTTCTCATCATATGGAGTATATTAGGAGCTGGCTGCCAGTTTTTCATCCCTGAGAGTCTGACCTATGCAGCTACCTGAGCGGTACCCATGGTCCTCCTCAATGCTCAAATGGATTTTTCTCCAATAAGAACCACAACCTTCTGGCTACAAACAGTTCACTAGCTTCATCATGGCTCCATATATCCCCCACCCATCGTGTCGACCTGTCCATTCTCCAACACATCGATTCCTCTGGAAGCATCATTCTGATCACAGCCCAAGGGCTTAACTCACTCCTCCTGGCTTACTCCCTGCAGCATCCATTAACTGCATGGTGGTGCCCCCCCCAGGAAGATTCCAGAAACAGAACTTCTGTTTAATCTCCCTTGAACTAAACAAAGCTGTTGTAGTTTGTCCTTGTCGCCTGTGACTTTTTGCATCTGGGTTAGGCATTTAACTTCCAACATGATATGTAGTCTATTATTACTACAGACCTTAGATCATATAAACCTGTCCAAAAGCTACACAGCGTGTTTCTTATCTAGACAAAGACTTCATTGTAATTAGTGTCTTTTCACTTGTAACCTTTTTTTGATAGATGCTCCAAATTATAATGTAGAGTAGATCACAATGAGTCGTACTGATAATAATGGTATAAACATTTTATTTCTCCATGAGAATGGCATTTTCAATTTAAAATGAAAAATGAACGTAGTTGCCCATCTAGGTGAAAAGCTCTATAGATCAAACAGTGATTTAAAAGTTCAAAAATCCATGAAGCACAATATTAAGGGAGAAAAACTATTTGCCCAAGCAAAACTCTATTCTTTTTCTTTTTCTTTGCATGTAATAATGAGAAGTCACACTAACGTCCATTTATACCACAGGTTATGTCGTATAAGACTAACAGAAAACTAATGCGAACAACCCCATAGAGGCAATCAAAACCCTTAATTAAGTTGAAATATGTTACCTGTAATATTTATAGTTACAGAATAAAATAGGAATATTTCCACTTGACAACTCAAACCCTAAATTATATTCTCCAAGCACAGGATGATAAAGTCGCTCCAAACAGTGAGAAAGTCTACAGCTTGGACTCCCAGAGAGACACGAAACCACAGAGTAAACTTTGTGTTTGCTCTTGTCCATCAAAAAGCACATTTCTCTGACTAGCTGTAACCTTCTGGTAATGGGTGAGTTGGTTTTGGCACACAGGGCATGGTGTGACAGCAATAACTGCACCCTGAACCCACTTTTCCCTAAAACACACAGATATATTCAAAAACCATATTATGATATGAGATCACTGGTCATCTGAGGACAATGTGTGCCGAATACAAAACACCACCAGCAGTTCAGGTACAGTACTTTTCCATATTTATTCTCATCTCAACCAGAATGTTCAACGTGTTGCATTATTAAATGTATTTTTTTTTTTCTGCTAATGTGTGAGACAAACAAAGTAGCACCTATTTTATTTTATTTTAGGTGGAGAACTGCAAACTGTTTTCAAAGAAAAATCTCCAAATTTCCCTACATTTGTTTTCTATTTCTTTTACTCTAACACCTTAAAAAAATATATCTAGTGTAATTAATCATCTTTTAAGCTTTTGCAATAATAAGTAATTACTAACTGAGCCTAACTGATACTTAGCTATTATAGTGAAGACCTCAGAGGTTTGTTAGACAACATTTGCTGGAAATCACTGTCATGATGTCAAAGGAACAGAGAAGAAAGGCCCAATCTAAAAGATTATGGAGAAATTTGAATATTTTCAAGTACCAATTGAACATCAACTAGGAGAACATTAATTAGCTACAGATTTCAGGAGAAGCTATCAGCAGTTTTTTTTTTTTTTATTTAAAAACAACAGTCCTTCATAGAAGATTGGCAAAAATAAAAAAATATCCTAAACTAAACCCAAAATATAATTAGTAGAAGAAGCTAAGTTAGTGATAAGGCAATGTGAAATTTTCTTCCTACAAGCAAAGGGCTAAAATGACTTACCTCACCTTCCCTATGGGAAAGAATGGTAATGGCAGCTTCATGCTGGGGGGAGGTTTCCCTTAGCAGTGACAGTGAAATGGTGTGTGGTATCATACAGGACTGTCTTGAATGATAAAATCTTAGAGGCTCTAAAAGATTTCAGACTGTTCCTCAGATTCACCTTCAAGCAGGAAGCTGACGCTTAACATAAAGCCAAAGCTATGCTAGAATGGGTTAGATCAAAGCATTTGTTTGTGTTAGAATCTCCTGGTCAAATTTCAGATCACAATGCACAAATTAATTTGCACACTGCGAAATAGATCTAGATATAAGTCAGCATTTCTTAAATTGAATATATTTAGCCTTAATTTAAGTAGCTATTTAGGAAGATTTGCCAATGGAATTAGTATTTTTACTCTTAAAATACGATTGTTAGATAATATGCACTTAAAATGAAACAATGCAATTGTTTTTTTCATACTTTAAATGTAAATTATTTTCTTCCATTGGCAAAGTGTCTCACTTACCCCCTGAAATCAAGAAAAAAATGCACTTATTCTAAGAAAAAATGACTGATCTAGATTTAGATTTTTTTCCAGTGCAAAGATTTGCGTAAAATGCAAATATAGCACTAAATTAAGAGGGAGTGTTTTTACATTATTCATGAAAGGAAATCTAAACATAACTTCCCACATTCTTATTTATATTTGTAATTAAAGGAATAAAAAAATTATAAGAATCAGTGGAAGAATAATTTTTGCACACTTAACTCCCACTTCTGAAGAAAACTTGAGTATTTTTGAACCTATTACTCAAGATTCATAGGAATTCACCTTTTAAATTCAGGTATTGAAAATTGCAGCTATGTCCTAACGTGAATTCAGAAACCATTACATTAGCATTGTATTTGTGTGCGTAGGAGGGTAAGATGAGGAGCCCAGTGACATGCTGACAACCTTGTTATCTGTGTTTTTTGTGCAGCACACAATGAAGCACTGTTTTCCTCAGATGTTGGTTCAGACTGAGGCCGTCCAGGGACTCTTTATCCTCTGCCGCCTCTACAAAGGATTGAACGTTCACCACATTTCAACAAAATCGAAGAAAGCATCAATTATCTTGGATCATCGGTTTGCAGACGTCAGAAGTCAGCAAACCGTTTTGTATTGACTCGCAACAACCGATGGTCTGTTTGGATAATCATGCTTCATTTATCATACAAATTTACAATGTCTGTAGTACGTCATTGGGCTCTTTGAGGAAAACATATCAAAAAAAGATTTTCACCTGCAAGTACAATGCAAAGCAGGACCAGCTAAGTAAAATTATATAACAAAAAATAATTTAAAGATGTATATGAAAAAAAAGCAAAATTGTTGTGTTGATTTTATGTATCTGTTATGTGCAAAATACATATATGACGCGATATCTAATAGAAAAAACATTAAGCAGCTTAAATTTTCTTAATCTTTTATGTTTTGAACTCCCAAAAAAACAGAATAAAACTACCTCTGATATTATGAAAAGCAACAATAAGGTAAAACTGGGCCTTTGTTAAGAAAGAGTTGAAAATAGTGAGAAAGAAGAAAAAGGGAGGCTCCCTGTCTTTATAATTTGGCCCTAACCTGAAAACATCTGCCTTTGTTGTGTGAAGAAAAGGAAGCTTATTTTCTAACTCTTGGTTACACCCTTAGATTCCTTCCTTTGAGTGGACATACACTGAAATGCTCTATTTTCCAGCAGTGCTGCTCCTTCTTTAGATTTTCATTCACTTGCTGAATCCTTTATCAGTTCAGTGATGTGTTTCTCTTTTGCAGTGACTGTTCATTTAAACTTAAGACAGAATGGATCTGAGATGGTTATTCTGCTTATGGATCAATAAATCCTCATGGATAGATCTTCCATATATTATGATTTTATTGTGAGCGCTTCCCAAAGAAAGAGGAAATTATTCTCTGTGATGTATAAGTTACAATATTCCCAGTGTGATCTCTACCCTGCTGTTTTCTTCAGTTGTTATATCTATAAACTGAAGATACTGTTATGGTCCAACATACAAACACCTTTCACAGAGGTTTGCATTTCTATGTGCTAGATATTAGTCTGAGTCCAAAAGGAGTTTAATATACTTTAGCTTAGCTTAGCTTAAAAACAACCAAACACCTGATGAAATTTTAATGATTCTACCTGAAACAGGTTTTTGAATGTGTCCTTTTATTTCACATCTGCAATCAACCTCTAGACAATTAAAAAATTAACCTAAAATTTGAATTGAAACCTTTTTTATTTGCCAACTTTCTCTGACTAGAATTATTTTTGCCCCACAGTGCCTCCTGGTGGTTGAATGTTGAACGCTCATCAATGCCACCAGCCTATGGATGACAGTGAGTTAGAAGCTCTGCTAATGTGGCAACCAGCCAATTCATCCATCCCTACCTCACCTGTGCCTGCTGATGTTTGCAGGACAGTGAGATTCTGGAGCGATTCTGACTTTGCACCACAGCTAACCTCTTCAGTGAGTTCAGTTATCAGTTCACAGCCTTTAATTGAGAGCTTGCTACTCTGCCCCTTTACTTTTTTCACATTTAACTTTTCTTCTCACATTGTATATAACAATAGTCCCTATAAGCATAATTTATCTGCATTGCTCAGCAAATAAAGCAAAGTGTGGTTGGTAAAAGATTTACCTTGCACAAAGTTGTCTTTTACCTTTCGCAAATTGAAAGAAAGGCATATTTTACACTCTTCCTCTGTTCGTTCTCAGCCTTTTTAAGACAAAAAAACATATTTGAATCCACAAAATCTAAAAAGCTGTACAAGAGAAAACATTTGAAACCTTTTATAAAAGGCAAAGTGTCAGTCCTAAAAAAAATATTAGGAAACTTCCAGTTCAACAAGGGTTGGCATAAACCTAAAAATGAAAAAAAAAAAAAAGGTGGACAGATTTTACACAAAGTTGTTTTTATTGCCGTTATGCGTAGATAAGACATATTCAGAATCAACATTAACCCAGGAGAAGGTGGCAACTAATCCCAGAGCAAACTACAGAAAAAGAGGTGCCTCTCAGAGAATCTAGATCATCAGTCTATGTGATGTGTGGTAGTTTTGTAGTGTAAATTACAGACAGGAAGGTGGTCCCTAAAAGGGCCTTTCCACCCCAGATCAAAACTATTGACATTATCCATGAAACTGGAGCTAATTTGCTTTAAATAATACTGACTCAGTGTAAAAGCAAAAACAACAAACCATCATAAGGTTGAAAACGGATACGGGGAATGTACTTGAACTGTTCTACAGCAAGATTAACATGATTATTTTGCAGGTTTAATGGGACATTTACCACAGACAGTAACAGATATTCTTCAGGCTCCAAACAGCAGGGGTTTAGGTGCTAACCACGAGGCAGAAATCATAGAAAAGCACAAAATGAACTACATTTCAGCATCAGAATTTTTCTTTTTTTACCCATCAAAAGCATGGTAAGAATTAATGGACAAATTTAAGCTTTAGATATGTGGTTCAATCAGGAAACATTTGTTTTCAAGATCTTCTCGAAGCATGAGTTGATGGAGCGTGGCACCTATAGAGACTCTGGGTAATTGGCTTCAAGTTTAGCTTCATTCTTCACTTTACAGCAGCAGGATTCCCTACAAAAAAACAAAACAAAAAACATAATTCAATGCTTAAAAATGCAAGCAAACAATTCAAATAGATGCAGAGACATCAAATGTGTGTGAATTGTGTGACACATAAATACAACCAATAAAAGCCTCAGGGTTTTACATCAATTATTAACATAAACATATGAGTTGAAACAGCAGGGAAAACCTCGACTTTAAAACAGGCATCATCCTCCTCAATGTGTCACCTGTTCAACATACAAAGCAGGCCCCTTCATTTAGTGCCGTTGTACTTGACTTCCTTTCCGCATTTCTTCAGCGTCTCCATCAGAACATCCACATCCTTGTCAGACTCGATCCAAACCAGCTTCTTTGGCAGGTCGATTTCAAACTTAACATCTGAGAAGAGAAAAGCAGGAACCTTGTTAATGGTAACAATGGACTAGAAACAGACAACTGTTGTTTGTTTGTTTTTTTCTCAAATTAATGAACTAGTCTTTAGTCCTCTTTAACCCAACTGTTGAGGAAGATCTGAAAAATAGATTTTCTTTATCTTTGAAAAGCTGAAGCTCAGACTATGTGACTGAACAAGAAAAAGAGAACTGAAATTTGGCTACTAAACAATTTAATGACTAAGTCAAATATAAGTGAAACAAAAAAAAGCATCAGGTGACCAACAGGCTGAGTCAACACTCAGAGCAAAGAGGTCACGGAGGGCTGTGATATAAACCGCCTTCAAACATTTCCTGAACTCTCTCTTTTGCACTAGATGCAAAGCTGAGTCCAACTTGCATAACCAACAGAAGAACTGTATGCTGTCTAAAGACCTAAATATAAATCAGGATCCTAACATATTTTAAGATTTGCTTCCAACAAAGAAATCTTCTGCTTACTATAAATATGGCACCACTTTTAAGTTACAGATTTAAAGCTTGCATTGGATACATATCTATAAGAAATGAGAACAATCTTGTTTACATGATAACATTATACACATTTACAGTGGTGTGAAAAAGTGTTTGCCCCCTTTCTCATTTCCTGTTTTCTTGCATGTTTGTCACACTTAAGTGTGACAAACATGCAAGAAAACCAGGAAATGAGCAAGGCGGCAAACACTTTTTCACACCACTGTAAATGTGTATAATGTTATCATGTAAACAAGATTGTTCTCATTTCTTATAGATTTGTATCCAATGCAAGCTTTAAATCTGTAACTTAAAAGTGGTGCACAATTTATAGTAAGCACTTAAGTGTGACAAACATGCAAGAAAACAGGAAATGAGAAAGGGGGCAAACACTTTTTCACACCACTGTAAATGTGTATAATGTTATCATGTAAACAAGATTGTTCTCATTTCTTATAGATTTGTATCCAATGCAAGCTTTAAATCTGTAACTTAAAAGTGGTGCACAATTGATAGAAAGCAGAAGATTTCTGTGACAAACATGCAAAAAAACAGGAAATGAGGAAGGGGGCAAACACTTTTTCACACCACTGTAAATGGAACGCCAGAGGGAAAAATAATAGACTGCATTGTGTTGCTTTTAAAAACGGCCAAAATGCTGGTAATGATGCAAGCTTGGGACTTCAATGTGAGTACAACCTCGTACAGCTAGAGTAAAACTGTAGGAGAACTGACTGTGACAAGTAGAACAGGAAGAAAGTTCAAAAATATCAAGACAGGCTGAATTGAGCAAACTTCAATATGTCTGAGAAGTTCTGTTTAGGTGAGTAAAAATCAAAGGTTTGGAAGCTATGAGGTTAAGGTAGGGACGAACCGCTGGGCTCTGACTCTAGAAGCTCCCATTACTTTTTTGTTTGCTATATATGCACCATGTGTTTCCAAACACATGCCTGCAGGTTTAGATTTCAGCTTATAGATTTTACTTCGTATTTTTCCGTGAGTGAATATTTCTTACTTTGCATCTGTGTCTCTCTTCCTGTCTGACTCCTAACATTGTTGTCAAATTGCTGCATAGATCTGACCAAAATAAACTAGGGGGTCCATCTCAGTTGCAGCTAAACAAGCACTACTGCAGAGAATCATAAGATGGAAGTGCCACAAATTCACACAATTAATTGTGTCCGGGATGTGTTCAGATTTATCAGTGGCTGATTAAAGTGAATGAAAAAAAAATTGTAAAAACGGGGAAATTATGTTTTAACAGATGGCCAGTTTTGTTTTTCCCCCCCAAAACAACGACAACAAAAAAAGGAAATTAAAAACTGCTTTTTTTGTATTTACCTCCTTAAAATTGTGTTTTATTCTGATTTGTTGTTGATCCGAAACCCCTAAAAAGCCAAACAAACCGACATGTTTTGTTTAGATCAAATTCATTCCCATCTCTCCATCTTCATCTTCTCCTACCAGTTTGGGCTCTTTTTAAAGTAGCCGTTGCCGGCTTTTCTTTTCAGCTCAACAATTTCCCACAAACAGTAATGCAATCATTTGTGATTGTGTCTAATAAAAAAGAAAAACACTCTGTTCCAAGAACAAAGTGCGGTGAATCAGTGCCAAAAACCAATCAACTTGAATGAGAAGTGAATCTACTGCTTCCAGTAAAACCAGAACTGAAATAGAGGGAGGAAGAGAAAGATGTGCCTGTCTTACCTCCAAGCTTATTGAGGATTCTTGTAACAGCTCCGGAGCAACCTTCGCAGGTCATCGCCACCTCAAACTCGTGCTTCTGTGACAAACAGGGAGGATTTATTTTATTGCAAATCTTTTGTTGTTCTACAACAATGATAAAAATCCTCTAGAGAAGCTGGAGGTTGAGTTACACCTTAACCCTTGAATTTATCAGGCATCAGCTGCTTAATGTGGCATCCTTATTTTAGAACAATTTTTGTCTTTTGCTTGTTAAGGAAAACTAGACGCCCAACCATTTTTTTTTTTTTTTGCTTATGTCATGTCTGTTCACACAGACAGACATCCCTCTCTCCAGTGTGATCTTCCTCCAAACACTGACTGGAAGGTGTCCAGCTGTAGTCCTGATGAAATCCCCCCCATCTTGACTGCATTTCTGATACAGAAAGCAGTGATTTAACTGATATGTTCCACTGGTTTATGGAGATGTTTTCCTTGTCTCTCAGAAAGAGCACAATCATCCTATTATTGAGATTCATTTCTGACAGATGCTTTCACTGTTCTAAAATCTATTTTCTAGATTTACAGATGACTGTTAAACCTAGAAGTACCAGTAAATTGAGGGACCCTTCTCCCTCGGTTTCATTTTCACAACAACAGATTGAAGCACAGCCCTTATTGAGAATGGATGAATGGATCCAGACCTTAGAAAGGTGAGCTGCACAAATATGTATATTATCACATCGCTGTATGAAAGCAATAATTTTAGGTCTACAGAGAGGATCATATGGACCGACGTTCCCTCCGACCATGACCTGCACAGATCTAGGTCCAAAAGAGCTCACATCTCTGCTGTGCAGGCCCCACACAACCTGGGCAGAGGCTGTTCAGACTTTTACCTTTGTGCTGTAGAGAGCTAATGAAAACGAGAACAGACACAGATGGTTCCAGTCCCCAGGCTGACTATGCTGGACATGGTCACAGTACTCAGGGGCTCCGATAGAACAATTAAGAGATAAATCCTGCCTCACCTTGTTTATATATTTATGATTGCAAGAAAATACACAGCTGTACACACTATTATTCTACTTTGTTTTTTTTTGTTTTTTTTACATTCTGTGGTTGTTATTTGCAGTGTTGGTCACAAGACCAACAGAAATCCAACATTAGATTCCAATTTTTTTGGGTCAAAACCTACCTTGGCAGATAAAGTTTCTACTCTATTCTAATAATTCTATTAATCACAGAATGATGTGCTTTAGTGCATTTTTTTTTTACTAATGATAACAGTTGACAGCTAGATTCTCAGAAATATTTAATGATTTCATGCAACCTATATGAAAAAAGACAAAACATGTCAGCCTACTGTGAAGTAAGTCCAAGTATTGTTCAGTATAATCGCGTTTTGTTTGGTGGAGGCTTCTTTTGTGTGAATAAGTGCATTCGTGTGATGTAACAATGAGACGATTGGAAAATGCCTCTGCTGAGGTGTTAAGAAATTCCTGGTTGCTTAAAAAGCAGTAATAGCTTCTCCACTGGGGTCACCTGGCAGCCTTCATCTATGGTGGCTTATTTGGGGTCCGCCTTTAACGACCAACCTTTCACAATCATAGACAGGTTTCAAATATTACAGGCTAACAATGGAACCAAACAACCCGCTCGTCAGTTTCAATTTGCATGTTTCCAAGCAATACAAGGCCTTGTCTATATAAAGCCTCAAACTCACTGTGAATCCAGATATTTAAATTGAGAAAGCTTCCTGGACGGCAAGCGAAACATCTTCAAACCTTGGAAACCAAGTCCAGTGGATTTTTTTTTTTTTTTTTACTTTTACAGAATGACTATGACCTGGATGACTGAGAATCTTCATCAGCTTATTTGGGGTCAAGTCACAGTGGATTTGCCAGCATGACAAATACTGGCTGATGCTTGAAAATAAAGACAACATCTCTATTAAGCATGTGATTAGAGGAAAGCATGAAGTGCTTTAAAAATTAATTGCAGGTGACTGAACAAACTTTAGACTTGAGAGGAGTGTAGATATAAATGTAAAGCTGCTTCGCTCTCGCTGAAGACTCTTAGACCTTCATTTACAAGAAAATTTATAATTTTCTTTAGGCTACTAAACAATCCTATTTCAGGATTGGCTCATGCATCAGGAAAGGGAAAGATTTAGCCCATTTCTTGGATATATCTGCCTTTGGTGGATCTATAACCTTTGTCTCAAACTACACCCCCCTCCTTGTAAATCTCCCCCAAAACCCCTGATTTTTGACCCTGAAGAAACCATGTAGGTTACATCTACTACACAAAAAGAAGCATAAAATCACTTTGTCTCTCATGCAGATAGTACAGCAGGGAATAAAGCCTGGACTCATTAATATTTCCTAGTCTTTTACTTCTTTTACTTGCTTTGTATTGATCCAGACCAACATGTAGAACTTCCTACAGGAATCCTGGTTTTCCTACAAAGCACAATGTAATCCGTCTGACTAGTTTAATCCTTTAACATGATTTCCTTTCTACACAAACTACCTGCTTATTTCTTCTTAAAACGGTTGTTGCATAATCCCTGATTAATGAACGATCCAGTTTAAGAAAATTGGGAATCTCATTTTGTAGCAGGCTAAACTAAAACCCTTTGCGTCTGCCACGTAATGAAGCTAAAACATGTTCAGGAAGCAAGCTGGAAAACAATTAAAATAAACTCACAGTCATGTTGTCAGTGATGTGCGCGTTTAGCGATTGAACAAACGCTGGATTGTCGCCTTTGATTAACTCGGAAATGTCGCTAAAGACTACAAAAAAGTACAAAAAAAATGTAATGTTGACAACCTGCTTAGCTAGCTACTCTTAGCGCATAGTCACAAACAGGATATCCGGTACCGAGAGGCTCCAAAATATTAAAGGAGAAGCTCGGTGCAAATATATAAGTTAGTTTGTTCCTTTAAAGTTTTAATAAATATACGTAATCATGTATACACATACTTTTTTATTTTAGACATAAGGGGTTCAAGTAAAACTTGTGAAATTATATAAAGCAGAGTTCCGCACAGCCGTACGTTTTTGATTTAACATGTTGTAATTTTATTTTGAAAATCCCAAAAGAACACTTCCGATTTTAACATAAAGTAATGAAATTCTTATGATGATCATTAGTATGATGATGATGATTATTATTATTATTATTATGATGAGGATGATGATGATAATAATAATGATAATAATAAGAATAATAATAATTTTTATTATTATTATTCTTATTATTATATGATTTAATATATCATAATAAAATTATATATACATATATGTGTATGTATAATTGTATCATTATATATATATTATATCATATAATAATAATAATAAAAAAAAATATATAATAATATAATAATTTTAATCTTGTAACCTTCTGGGAAATATTTTTAATCAAAGTGTTACATCTTTGCAAAAAAAAAAGTCTGAATGTGCTTCAGCGTTTTTTTTTTTTTTTATAATTATTTTAATAATTTAGTTAAACTTTTCTAAAATTTGCAATTACAGCGCTTGTTCTCTCAGGCGTTATGAATAAAATATTAGAACAGCTTTTATTTTTTAGGACGAACTGAGTTTAGTTCCGTTTCCATAACAACAAAACGTCGAACGTCGCCGCGGCTGCTGTCATGTGACCTCACCGCTGGCGCTGAGGAGACAAACAGCGAAGCCGACTTGGTTTTAGCTCACAATCTGTGCTGCAGCTCGTCGGTCAACTTTCCGCTTCAACCTGATATGAACGTTAGAGCTCCTCTGGTCAGGCCATCCAGATAAAGGTTTACTGAAACGGGAAGCAGAGGCCTAAATATCTCAGAGGTAAGCTGGTGTTTTCTGATGGGCCGAGCTGCTGTTTACGAACACAAAGATGGCATCGGACCCTCAGCTAAGGTTGGCTAACCCGCTCCTTAGGTCTTTATCTCCTCCTGACTCTCTCTTCTAAAGGGTTTTAAGATAAACTATCTAAATCTAGCAATTCAGATTATTTCAGATTTAGATACGTCCCACCACCCAGAGCTCTTTGCTTAGTTTTATTTCGCTCACTTTAGCCTGTCCGTTTACACACAACTTGATGCTTCTGCTATTTTTTCTCATTCAAGCTTCATATCAGCTCTGACAACTTGCACGTCTCGTGCCAAAGATTACCGGTAATATCGGTGGGATTACCGCGTTAATCTGCAGCATGTTGAAGAGGGACGCGTCTAAACTAAAGATGTAAACAGTTGGTTAAAGTTGATTTAGTTTGTCCTCGCCCTGGTTTAACAGGGAGGTTTCTATACCGATTGCTCATCTGCAAACATCTAAGCTGAAAACTGTTTTCCCTGAGAGGTTTTGACGGTAAAGGTCAGTGTTTTACCCTTGGTAATAGAGAAACGGCCATGCTTGTAATTTTCCAGTAGTTTGATGAGTCAACAATAAACCAATCAGAGGCTCTTTTTTAAAAATACCCGTTCATCTTGATTAAGATTGCAGGAATCAGGCTCTCAGATTGGGACAATTTGCATAACAAATTCGTCTATTGCAAAAGAATAAAGCAGGATTCAGTTGCTGCTAGTCATGATCTGGTGTTTCTCAAAAGCAGGATATCTTTAAATACTGATATGTAACATTGACAATTACTTAAAGGGTAAATATTGAAGGTGGATTTTAAATTTTAGATAAAAAAACAAGAGGAGCAATTAGTCCTACTGCTGCTACCCTACTATAACATTCTAATACACTTCTAATAATCTTATCCATACATTTTATAACTAACAATTAGTTATTTTTGCTATAATATAGGAAAACAACAGCTTTTAGCTTCCAAAATGTAGATTTTGTTTAAGAATTTGCCGAGTGATGATTGTATTCTCACAGCACAGATCATCCATCACTTTGTTTTTATGATTCATTTTCACTTTATATCAGTTTTTCTGCTCATCTGTATTTCTTATTAGTAAGAGGGTCTTTTTTCAGGTCGCTGTTCAGCAACAGATGGGGAAGGGGCAGCTATGTTTTACCGGTAACAATCTGGAAAAACCACTGCTGTTTCTTGCACTCAGTAAAATGCACAATGAAACGAACAGTTTTAAAGGTTTATCTGTTTGCTGCTTTAAAAGAAAAAAAACCTAGATGGAGAGTGGCTAAGAAATAGATTTGCTTTATCGTTCATCAGTGATCAGACGCTCTTTCTCACTAACCTGTTATGGAACTTTTTAAAAATCATTAATGGCTTCTAGAATCAATAAAATCAAACTGTTTTTATTGATACTTTTCTGTCTCCTAGGAATGTCTAGTTTCATTTTTTTGTGTTCTTCCAATTAGCCTTGTGACCCAAACGGGTTATAGCAGGGGTTCCCGTGTCCAGTCCTACAGGATGCAACGTCTATATGCATCCTTCACCAAACCTACCTGTAGTACCTCATGTCATTCAGCTCTGAGGAGGCCTGGTAATGAGCTGTTCCTTTGATTTATGAGCGGTGCAGAAGGTTTGCAGCGCTGTGTCACATTGTGGCTGAGCGAGAAATGTTCTTTATTGCAGGATGCTGACTGAAGCGAGGTTAAACAGAGAAGCTGCTACCTGAGAATCTGTATTGTTTTCCTTTAGAGCCCCTGAATTATTTCTGAGTTTTTGTCCTCTCAGTGTTTTAATGTGCAGTCGGGTCTGAATAAAGTCCTGAGAGTCTGATGATGTTATAGGAAGTTGTGGTTCAGATATTTCAGTTTGTTCCTGATCTCTTCATGGTTATTCTAACTAAAGGTGCAAACAGGTTCCTCCTATGCAACATTACTCGGACGGATGGAGAGCAAACTCTTCAAACAAAATCCTGTTTTATCACACAGCAGATGCCAGACGTGATCTGTTTGCGTTTCCAGCTGTTGCGTTGGCCTTACATAACAACTGGGTTTATTGGCCTCCCTGATAAGGCCTGTCAGGCAGTGGCTGCAGGACATTTGAATATGAGAGAAACACTTAGAGATTTTGTGTTTCGCTAGAGCAGGAAAAAGTAAAAAGGAGTTATTCCTTCAAACAGTCATTTGGATGAGAATGTGAGAAGCAGATTCTGCCTGCAGTAAATTTTATCTTTGATTTTAATGTTCAAAGTGTTTTTCTTTCAATCAAAAATAATTGGAAGAGTGAAGGTTAGTTTGTTGTTTACCCCTCGTCGACAAATAATTACTAAAGCCTCTACAGCAGAGGAATATTTAAAGGGATCTTTTTCATTTTTTTTGTAACATTCACCTCATTGCTGCATCAGAAAACAATGTCTTTTATGAAGCAAAGTTTAAAGTTAAACCATGTTCTATTTGAATATATTTTACAGTAAAGAAAAAGTTGCACAAAAACCCAGTTTATCAAGGTTTCTATCACAGAAGTAGAGATGTCCCGATCCAGGTTTTTGCACTTCCGATCCGATACCAATATTGTTTTTGGACTTCCGATCCGATACCGATATTGTTTTTGGACTTCCAATCCGATACCGATACTGGCCGATACCAGCCTATCCGAGCATGTATTTAAGTTTAAGTTCAAGTATTTAGCCTTAGTTGTAAGACTCATGTTGAAAAGGGTTTTAGTACTCTTGATAACATCTAGCCAGCTAAATTAGGTGATATTGAATAAAACACAATGCTTGGTAACAACAAACTTACCTGTTTATTAAGAGATAAACACAAACTGGACAAAATTATGAATAGCAATCTGAAATTGCACAGTGAACAGTAAAACCATAAACAGTTAAAGGTGCAAGTATTAGTGTAAGTTTTAATAAAAATGCAAAACAGGGAAACACTGGCGCAAAATAGTGGAATGGATCGTTTCAATCGGCGAAACTGGAAAATACGGACCAGATTTTTTTTAAAAACTGGATCGGCAGTCTGGATCGGCATTTTACATGCTTTGCCGATACACATTTTTCTGCCAATATCGGCGTCCGATCCGATACGTGGATCGGATCGGGACAAGCCTACACAGAAGTGGTGAAATGAACATCGAGGATGTTCATGACAGTGAACAGTAACAGTCATTCAGTAAAGAGGCGTGAGATCCAAGCTTGCATTCGATTTATATAATGTTATGATGCTCGGATTTGCCACAGATTAGCTAACTAATATTCTCACTGCAAAAAAAGTTCTCAGAAAGTTTGCACTAACATATTTTTTACCATATTTCCCCATTTCTGTTTTGCAAATTAATCTAATCTCCATATCAGTTGCTGTCATTAAAGCAACATCCCATATGATCTTCTTCTCTGCTGAAGGTTTTTTGTAACTTCCTGGAGTTGCTTCATCTAACTCCATGTTTTTTTTTTTTCCCACTTATGTTTTCACAGTTGGAATCCATCAGTGCTGAGCCGTCTGTCTTCGCTGCACTAGGATCCGTGAGGCTGGGAAAAACAACAGCCAGCCACCCGCAAGCTCCACCCGACCCACCATGATGGCATCCAGTGATGTAGACAGCAGAGCTGATGGTAGGAAACACTCTGTAAAAAAAAAAAATGTAGTCCCTATCATTAGAAGGGGAAGGTAAAAGATTCCCGTTTGTTGTCCTGATGTAAGACAGAGTGAACTTGGAACATGGTCGCAGACGGATTAGGTGTAATCCCCTGAATCATCAAAGCAGCTTTCATTTCATCTTAGAGATGTGTCTGACGGCCTTCGGTGCGTCTAAAGTGATAGGAGGTCACCGTGGTTTACTTATTACATTTTTGCAGTTGGGTGTGTATAAATCAGAACATCATTAATAAGAGATTTCCTTTCAGAAACTAAGCACATATAGTGGAAGTCCTATTTATAGATTCTCTACAGTGTTTTAAGTCAGGCACATTTGCTGGCCAATCAGGGACAATATTAATATAAATCAGGCATTGGTACTTGCAGAAAAATGAAATCAGTATCTGGATAAGTGTGTTTTCAGAAAGGAGCATGAAATATTCTCAAAAATGCTGCTAGAAGGCTATGCTGACTTTGGACGGCAGGTGACATGGTGACCCACATTTGGTGCCTCTTCACTGCAGGATCTGGAACCTTGATTTCAAAATTAAATGTGAAATTTAACTGAATCTCTGAAGAAGACTTTAGGTCACTGAACAATCTTCTATTTGGCTTTTTTTCCTCCTGCATCCTGATAAGAAATTTCTGATGTTGTTTCTTGTTTAAGAGTTGCTTGAAACCAGGGAAGTGACAAGTGGAGCATGTTCTAGAAACCTTTAAGGTGGCTCCTAAAACACACTCTTAAACGCAGAGCCTTTCTGAACACTCAGGTTCTTTAGCAATGACCTTTCATTGCTCGCCGTTCTTATGCAGGGTGTCGGCGAGTGTCTGCTGAACTACAGGTCATTCATTAGCCCTGCCCATGATTATGTCGGTCATGTTATTAAAACAAGCGAGATGAAGGTAGGTTTCAGAAGAAACAAGAACAGGTCAAACTCTATGTCCATAATGGGAGAAGAAGTAGATGCGGGAGAGGAGCCTTAATTCCTTGACAGTTATCTGGAACAACCAATCGTCCTGGAGGTAGAACATTAACGCTGTCTGCAAGAAGAACAGAGCCGACTGTACTTCAGAGTTTGTAGCTTGATGCAGCAGATCTTCTATAGGTCATCATCTGCGGGGGTAGCAGAATGAGAGAAAATGACTTAAAGAAGCTTAAGAAGTCAGTTTTGGGATCTCCTTTAGAGATGATTTTCCATGTAATGTTCTCCATTAGATTAAGGAAGTTCTTCATTATATGAAGAACATTAAATAAAATCCCAAGCATCCTCTTCATCAAAGTGTTAAACAACAAGGTATCTTCAGTCAGAGGCTGCTCTGGCCTTGCTCAAAGACAGACCACTACAGGAGAGACATTAGCATCCATTAGCATTTCCAACAATTTGTTGAGGAAAAGCCCTTTGATATGAGACACAACATCAATTTAATTTCTCTTTGGGATTAATTAAGCATTTTTTTCTGCGCACTGTGTGAGTAATCCCATCCTCTATATCTTTATTTATGTCTGAAATGTATCTATTAGAGAGCCTCCTGAGGTCTATCATGGTATAGAGTTCAGCAGAATCAATGTTAGCCACAATAATAAAAAAAAATAACAGCAATAATAAAGTATTGTAGGCTTCCATGTTTATTAAGAGTCAATATTGTATGACCTTTGTAGACTAAATGACTCAGTAATCAATCAACAGTAATTGGGAGGTTAGCATTGAGAGTATTGATGTTAATAAGACAGTATATTTATTGTACTTTAAATTTTGTTTATGATCCTAAAGTGTTAAAATGCAGCTTTTGATTTTCCTACAATTTTTTCTTATTTTCATTTGTAATGTTCTTCTTTTATCTCTCTAATTGCAAACTGCTGACAATACTCGCGTCAGAAGCATAAGGACCAGCATCACTGCCTTAATAAACAGCTTTCTGACAGGTTTTAAAAATACACTTTGGTGATTTCTTTCTTTTTTTCTTCAGTATGAGAAACCGTTAATGAACTTTGCTGATTTCCAGCCGTCTGAATGCCGCAGCAACGATCCGTTGGTGCTGTTATTGACCGCATGTGTAGCAGGCTGTCACTACAGAGTTTCTTGCCTTTGTTTCTTTTGTAGGACGATCAAGAAAAGCACGTTCTGTTCTAGTTTATTAGAGTCAACTGACCACCAGAAAGACTGGTATCTCTGCATTAAAGCAGCGTCTGTTTACTGTTCAAGTCAGTTAATCTAGCACACCCAGTATCACAGATGCAGACAACTTCTTCCAGTAGTTGTTTGGTGTTGTATGAGAATGACCTATTTCCAATAAATGGCTTTGTTACAGGACTCCTGTGGTGTAAAGTGTGGTTCGTGGTGATGTAAACCTGCTCCTGCAGGAAACCGAAACTAGAAGCAGCGGATTTTAGCATGAGACGACAGTTTAAAAAAATAGCAGACGTTTGTCAGGTGTTTAGCTGCTACCCATTATGGACATCAATGTTTGATTGCATAAATGCAAGTAAAACTGGTTAAATATTAAGCTAAAAGAATCACGTGGTCAAAATGCTACTTGCTAAGCACCAATTTACCAACTGTCCTTTGAGCCTAAATGTATATTTTTAGCACTGCACTTCAAAAGAATATCTAAAATGAATGTAGATTTTTTACATTTAACTTTTTGTAATTAGAAATCACTGAAATCGGTTGGTGTATGTTATTATTTAATGATAGGGGAGAAAAAAAATGACTAATAGAGTAATTAAAAACCAAAACTACTGATGGGAAACTTTTCTTTTCAAACTCATACATGGGATGTTAAAACTGCCGCCGTCATCGACAGAAAAGCAATGAAAATGATTCCAGATTGAAGCAGCTTAAACGTTCAGAAAACATTTAAAAACCTGCAGTGAAAAAAGTGTTTTAATTTTGAACAGCAAATTTGTGTGTTGTATTAAATTTGTTAAAATCTCTGTTTGCTTTGAGTTAAAGTTGATGTTTTAGCTGGGCAAGCAGATATTTCTTGCTACATATCAGACTTTTTTTTGTCTGATTTCTACTCATCCTTGCTACAGATCTGTGTATCTGTTCACTGATTAATTATTGCATTCAGCAGTCTTACTTTGGGATATATATTTAACTTAAATTTAGAGACAAACCTCTACTAAATTTATTCTTCAGCTGAAATTTTAAACTGGAACTGATGCAATGATCAATATTTGGAATCAACAATTTACTACAAATTAAACAGCTGTATAATTTTTGTTGACATAAGATAGCTGCAGGAAAAAATAAATATTGTTGAGTTTTAATTAGTTCAGTGTTAATTTTTTTTAAAGCATTTAGATGAAAAAAAAAGTTATTTGCATTCTCTGATTTTTGTTTTTAGATGGAAAAACCAAAGAAACGAACCATTACAATGTTCTACACTGGCTTTTGTTTATCTTTTTCAGTTTTCTCCGTACTGAAAACATTTCTACTCTATTCTCACATTGAATTAGCTTTCATGGTGAATAGTTGTGTCTGGTTACTAACATGAAATCCACCAATTGATCCTTTTTCCATGTCAACCCATAAATATTCATGTTTTTAATGTCGCTGTTTTTTTGCATGGATCAGTTATTTCAGTTACTTGTTTTATCACCTATTAATGCCTGATTTCTCCCCTTTTTTTGCTGCCATCAGAACAAAGGGCAGTCAAACGTGGAGTAACGCTGCTAACCTTTTTGGTCTTGATGTTTTATCATTATTTTTGCTGAGCTTTTAAACAGACCTTTTTGTTCCCCTGCTGCACTCAGCACAAACTGAGTGGTTTATATGTTACAGGAAGTTCTCTCATAAGGACATCAAATTAAGGTATAACTGTTCCCAAACGTGCAAACATTGAAGAATGTGATTATTTTCTGCAGCTCTTAATTGCCTTAGCCTGGCAGGAAGGAAACTGTTTTTTAACAGCAGTTCAAGATGGCATGTGAAAAGACATTTCATTCCATTTTTTTCCCCATGTGGCAGGTTCTCTCTTCTCTGACCAAAACCCCTCAGAATTGGATGCCCTGTGTCCGTCTCCTCCTGGTCCATCAAGACCTCAGCGGAACTATGAGCGGATTGGAGGAAGAGCCGGAACCTCGTGAGTAAAATTGAATAGAACAAAACATTTTTAAACTTTTTTGGGTAACGGCTTAATGAAATTTGTTTAATTCCCCCAATTTTGCAGTTTCTGTCAGACTCTGATCCATCTTCTGAAAGGGAACATTGGTACCGGTCTGCTGGGGCTGCCTCTGGCTGTGAAGAATGCAGGCCTGGTGGTAAGCAAAAAATAGACTTTATTATCTAATAGTTAGTGGTAAGAGCAGAGGTCTGGCTTTTGAAAATTAGATTCTGCTTACATTCCTCTCTCTGTAGGATACAAACAGAAAAGGACAGTTGTACTTTGCTGACTATAATAAAACAGACATGAGTGGCAGTAAAGTGACAGATTGTGGTCTAAGCTTTAAAAACTGCTGTTTACGCAACAAGTGGAGAGAAATCTTCTGAAATGTATTTGTAAAAAATACAGTTATTTCCTACATGACTAGACTGATAATCAGGAAAGATCTTCTGTTCTCCCCATCAGACTGAACCAATGACTAGTTCATATTTGCCAACCAATAAAATAATAGTTTGATCAATAAACTTTATTGATACTGTAGAAAAGCAAACAGCTCTATTTTTGTAACTGTTAAAATATCACAATTGTAGAGAAACTTTACTCAGTGATTATATCTAAAATGAACTCTTTGTTGAGTTATTGCTAAAGACGCCCACCAAGGCTACAGCAGTGTTGCACAAGTTCAGCTCTCACAATCATACATCAGACAGTTGATCATCTAATGCCAAATTTCTCCACCTTATAAACATTTGTATATTTCTGTACATATTGATTTTTTTCCTCTACATTAGCCACAAGCACATAGATGTTTCACTCCAGGGTTTCATTGTTTTAGGCTCCTTGACAATCTGCTTGTCCAGGGTTCATTATAGGATGACTTTGCTGTTGTTTGGAAACATCCTAGTTCTACCAGCCTGCATGAATCTACATGCAAGCTGCAGCTTTGTCTTCACTTTGGTGTGGCTGCAAACCAGAGCTACTGCTCACTGAAACATGAGAGGCTCAATGTTGCTTATGAAATCCAACATCATGTATTGCATGAAAAAACATCACTAAAACAGGTAAAAATAGCTGTCGTGAAGCGCTCTGAAATAATAAACTCCAGAAACCATGGCAAGAGTTCAACACAAGATGACTGTTCTGACTAATTGATCCCTTTTCCCCCTCGACTCATGAGGAAAACCTCCTCGCTGTCTGGCTACTGTTAGTTAAAAAACCTTAAGTATGTTTGCCAATCAGCTTCGAGCAGCCAGCTTCACGACCCTCCCCTGCTCCATAGACCTTCTAACCCCCAGATTCCACATACTCCATCAGCGCTCCGCCCTGCTCACGTACATCGTGTGGAGTACCTGTCTGTCATGTTAATCAATGAGAGCTCTTCCACATCCACCGCTACTCCTCCTCACGTCACCGTCTACGTGTGTCTTCTCTCTCCGTCACCGTCAAAATACGGAGCCAAGCTATTTTTTGCTCCGGTCCGGATATGTCAAGATCCACAATCGCACTACACAGGAAAAAGAACGTAGAGAAGATCCGGTTTGTCAAATTTAAATATTTTAGCGATTAATTGATATCTACAAATTATAGCATAATTCTTATAAATTCCCCAAAACTAAGAAAGTTTAATTAAATAATTGAATGGAAACTATTGGTACTTCAACATACCAGGAGGCAGATTTCTCATCTCGATCAAAGTATTTATTTTATACCGATTGGCTTAAAAGTGTAATCAAATCCAGTGAAAAGAAATTTCTTATCACAGGAATGGATGAAGAGAGGCTGAGTTTGGAAGTAGAGAACAAACATAGTTCATATAAACCTTAGGATGATCTTAGTTATCCCTGTCACAAAAATCCACAACAAAAAGAAAATATTTGGGCAGAAACTGAACATATGCTGGCTGGATGCTGATGGGGATTTTTTTTAATATGTCATATTAAATTAAGCATTAATTTCCGCATGTTTTGCTCCTATGAATTTAATAATAATATAGCACATGCTCTTCTCAAACTCAGAGGAAGTCGGAGCAGAGCAAGATGGGAGGAACAGCGGAGGCTGTAGGCTTTGCTTTGCGCAGTGTGGTCCTCTTTATATGTATATATATATATAATTTTTTTTTTTTTTTGTGCTAACGCTTAAACTCTGTTTAGGGTTGGTAAACTCAGCTATTTTATTCTATTCCATTTAGTAAAGTTTGATTTTCTTTTAACCACAAAAGCTTTGTGGTTCAAAGTTCTAAGAGCTACTTTTATAAGACTTTGAATAGTAAGCATTGCAAGCTCTGTTTTAATTTGCTGCAATCTGAGATGTTCAAGCTGTGAACGTTCAGGATGACCATCTTTACTGACATGTTTAAAGTAAGACTAAAGTTTTGACCGTCATATACCGGTATATTATATAGTGCAGCTCTTTTACATTAATAGATTTATTTCCCTCTGAGATTATTAAAGTATGTCTGATTCTGATTCTGATCTGGCCATACGTGTTCAGTCATGTAGAACACTGTGAGTTTCTTTAATCACGAGTCTTTGTAGGTGTGCTAAGCATACTATCACATAATAAGCCACACCTATGGTTCTCATGTTCTGGCTCTGGTAAATAAAGAGACAGAACGAGGCAGAACTGAACCCTCCTATGTTGTTTACCTTTCTTTCTCTGTGTGATCAGAAAATGAGCTTCTGAACTAGTTTGATGTTAACCTTTGCTTAACGTTTGCAAGTTTATTTCCTTTTGTGTTTACATTTTATGTCTGATAGCACTGTTGCCTTTTAGCAAGAATGTCCCTGGCTTAAATCCCAGCCTTGCTCTTATTTTCAGCATAGAGTTAACATACTCTACCTATGTTGGTTCTCCCCAGGTACTCCAGCTTCCTCCCATAGTCCAAAAGAATAACTGTTTGTTTTGGTCCTAAAAATGCCATATAATAACAAATTGATTTGATCTTTTTTAGCTTGGACCCATCAGTCTCCTGGTCATGGGAGTCATTGCGGTCCACTGCATGAAGCTCCTGGTCAAATGTTCCCACCACCTCAGTGACAAGTAAGTAAAAATGATGTCTCAGCCTGTTGTTAAATGGCAGATACTAAGTAAGGATGGTTTCATACGAGAGGTGACATTAAATGTTTACTTAGGTCAGGTTTTGCACAGGAGGGTGTAGGCCAGACACCATTTGTTTGAGGTTTTTTCATTAACTCTTAGGGTTGCTGTTTGCTTAAATTTTATTTGCTAATTTAATCCTTTCTGGTCACAGTAGATGAAACCTTAAGTTAGATTTCCTGCGTTTAAAGTCAGTCCTTCCTTCCAGCAGGATTTTATTCCCCTCTGTTTGTTGTTTCCTGTTGTCTGGCTCGTTGGGTGCTCTACCAACACAGGCGCACTTCATACTCTCAGACAGATAAGTCTCTATTTCCTGCTCAGTTATCAGAGGACCTTTAGCAGCTTGTCATGTGTTCTATCATACTTTCGCCAGCCCTGCCAGGCAAATCCCAAACATCATTTAAACGCTGAATGTAATCAGCTCCACCAATCAGGAGCTGCAAGCGAGCAGCTGGTGTTTTTGACATTACCCACAGCCGAACGATCAACATCACTGACACAAACTCTCTTTTGTCACATGAAATGCGTGCAAGCTGCAGCCCCCGCACCACCTGTCCCTCCCTTGGCAGAGCTCACACAAAGATCACCTGTAGCCCCGCCCACTTAGGTAAAGAGGATTAATCAGATCAGAAGCATGAATGAAGAGTGTCTTTTAAAAGTCAGTCAGGAAACACATCGGTGTCAGTGTGAGGATTGCACAACACTGTGTTCATGAAAAATGGACTCTGCTCTTTTCTTTAATGTAGAGTCATCACTTCCTCTAATAAAAAGCACCACATATCGGCTCAAAACTGTGTGTCTTTGTATGAGTGGTCATCTACTTGCATATGGGCTGAAACTGATGAACACCCTTCATCCAGGGAGTTTTAAAACCCTGCTGTACCATTGGGTGTATTTGATGTTGATGATCCCAGGCTTTTCCACTATAGAGCAGGTTTTCTGTAAGTTCCACATTTGGTTTTTACATTCTTTGCTGTTTTTCTAGGATGAATCGGCCGTCTATGAGCTACGGAGAAGTGATGCAGTACGGGATGGAGAACGTGTCATGGCTGAGGAGGCATTCACAATGGGGAAGGTGAGAGGAAAGTCAGGCCTCTTTTAATCACTTGAATCTTCACTCACATCCCAAAATATCCCAGGCTAGGGATTGGCTGGAAAAACAAAATTAAATAGAATTTCTCAACAGTAAATTCTCACATGAGATATAGTTAAGTCTCCACAAAATAACGCCCGTTATTATTAGAAAAACAACAAAAATTGGATTTTTTTTTTTTTTTCAAAATAGAAAGTTAACTTACGGTAATAAAATGTCTACAATAATAAAAAAAAAATGTGCAAAGAAGTACATTGTATGAATGAAAACATTTAATTGAGGATACTACTTTATTATTCAGGTAAAATGTTCTTGTCTAACTTCTCTCCTCTTAAATATTTATGCTTGACCTAATTACACATGCAGAAATTTAGTTTTGAACACATTGCTGCAAAATATCTAGACTTTAAGCATCAGTAAAACAAACAAAAAAATAGATCTGGTTCGATCATCGGCTGGTATCAGATTCTCATATAATGATAAACCTCTATAGATTATATTATATTGGTTTTATTTCATTATATTACTAATATAATCTATAATAAAACGTACAATAAAATCTTTGATTGTTATTAAAAACAGAGAAGCTGCAACTATTCCTTATATGAGTATAACATTAGTTATAATAGCTATATGTGCTAAATGTTATCTGCACTATTTGTTTCATATTAAAATCGATTTCTTGTAGTTTTAATGTGCTTTTTGTAGAAAATATTTTAGCTTGTAACCAGCTGGTATGAGTTGGTTAGTTTTCTGCTCCAGCAGTGAGCCTGTTTTTTCTATGCAGTGAGTGAATATATTTATGTTTTATGCAAATTAAGGAGTGAGAAGAAAGTGTGGAATATTCCTTTTGGCCAGCTTGTCAGGAATCTGGTATAGTTATAGTCTGGTATAGTAATAATCTGGTAAAGTTGCCGTCAGTTAATTTCTCTGAACCTTTAAAGGTAACATCTGTTTTTTTCCTTTTCCCTCTGGCTCTGTTTGCTCCTCTCTCTCTGTGTCTCAGGTGGACGGTGAACTTGTTCCTTATCATCACCCAGATGGGTTTCTGCTGCGTCTATTTCGTCTTCCTCAGTGACAATGTCAAGCAGGTCCTGATCACACACACACTCCTTATAACACACCCTGTTTTTCCTCTGCCTCCTGCCGATACCAGTTGAAAATGTTTGGGGATCATCTTTGCTCTGTCAGCCTGACGTTTCAGGTCACCCTGTCCTCTGAAATATAACCATCGTATTTCTGCAAATCAGACTAAATCTGTGTAAATGATTGGATTATAAATAGCAGACACGCAGAGCTGGATCTGTATCCTTAGATTCCCAAAGGTCACACCTTTAGTTAGAATGGAAGTTTTAAAAAGATATGTATACAGATACTCCCATTCAAAGGTTATAGAGATATGCTAGAAGGTCAATAGCAGCAGCAGGTTTGCCTTTGCAGCAGTGTTAGGTGGAAAAAACCCCAAAACCTTTTGGTGGACATCCATTTCAGGTTATAGTGTTTTGATCATTTGGATTCCCAACATCCTTACACTCCCTTGCATTCATATTTTTACAATATTTATCCTTTAGTTGAATCGTGTTCACTGGAAATGTGAAATGTTTCAGCCAAGATATTTAGATTGTATCCTTATATATAAGGAGTTAATTAATTCCTACAGTAAACCAAATACAGAAATTCCAAAACAATATAGTAAAATTGTTAAAAAAATTATCTTCTTCTCACTGAGGCGTGTGATGAAATGTGCTCGCCCATGAGGTCACTGCAATGGCATCAGTTCACCTTTAAACCTCTGAACTCTTCACCAATGATTGATTCCTTGTTTGTTTGTCTGGAATTCTTAAAACACTTTAAAGATCAATTATTTCTCATTTTGTTTGCATCTCGCAAGAAAAATCTATAAAAACTGGTGGAAAATGCTTTACTATGATAATCATGTGCTTTCTTGAAGAAATCACACTCATGTAGTGCATCTTCCCACCACTAGGTGGTAGTATTTACTTTTTAATTGTCCTCTTTCTCTGAGCTTCTCTCTCTTCTAAAAAGACTTGAGTCAACTCAAAAATTGGGTTGCTTTCGGCAAGTATAGCCGCAAGATGATTTATACAAAGCCGACCTAATTGTCATAGCGTGTGTTGTCCAAAATATTCAATGCATCTATTTGTTTTTTTCTCTTTTTTTGGGACTGAGATCTTTCAAGGGGTCAGATTCTGTAATCTTTAAAAGTATTCTTGATCAATAGCTCAGGTTTTCGTTTGAACTCTGGTTTTCTTCCACTCTTTATCTGTCCTCCTTAGAGAGGTCAGAGGTGATAACTAGAAAAAAGTGTCAAGACTAAGCAAACTATCTAGGAAAAAAAAGTGTCTTCAGGTCATGTCAGGAAAAAAAATCTCAAAATCTGCTGCATGGCCGGTTTATTTACGACCTAAAATCCTGCTTTCTGTTTGTCATTATTTACTAATTTTTGCATCATTTTGAGAATTTGATTGGTGATGGGATGGAGGAGTTTTCCATTATTCATTGGCAAAACACTGGTTTATCACATGAGTGAGGAAGGCTTTTAACAATTAAGTAATTGGTCAAAACAAAATAAAAACAAATATTAAAGAAAGCAAAAAAATAATCTGAAAGTAACCAACCATTGGAGTGAAGGTAACTGATAAAAGCTGCAGGACAATTAAGAATATTCAGAAAACCTGCAAGTCTGTTAATCCAGGCCAGGCTTTGGGTTCAACCTAGAAGAAAATGACGGAGGGTTACACATCGCTGCATACTGTGCATTAAAAGAAAGAACAGTTTCAAAAAGACACAAAAATCTGGATTGAAATAACCAGTACAGATTATTCTACATCATGTTTCACCTCAATGAAAATAATAATTATAATAATAAAACCATAGAAATCTTCAGGCGTTATAGCTCTCTATAGCTAAATGAGTTCATTATACACCTAAAGTTCCTTTATTTTCAACACAGTTAACCTTTCATCTCGCATTTGAATTGTTTTATTTTTCTCCTAAGGTGGTGGAAGCAGCAAACGCCACCACATTCATCTGCCCGGTGAACCACACCAACCAGACGGACGTCCTGGTTCCCAGTTTTGACTCTCGTATCTACATGCTAATCTTCCTGCCCTTCGTCATCCTCCTGGTTTTCACTCCCGACCTGAAGTACTTGGCTCCGCTCTCTCTCATCGCAAACCTGGTCATGACCGCCAGTCTGATTCTGATCTACATCTATTCTCTCATGGTAATCAGCTAATATTTTTTTCCTGATTTATTTAGTCATCAACCTCACTCTCTGGGTTGTGTTTACACATGTGGAAGACAAACTCATCAATCTCAGTTTGAAACAGCATGTGGCAGAAAATGCTCCCACTGACTCATGTGTGCATGTGGCGCCTCTGTGAGGGCACACTGTCAGGAGAGGCCTGGATTTGCATATCCTGGCCTCGTTTTGGGTCTGGATGACATGATTTCCCTCTAGCCAGAAAGATCAGCAGAGGTTCTGCTGAAAGCCAAATCCATTAAGGATTCTCACAGGATCCAGATGTCCTCCACCCATCTGGTGCAGAAAAGACTTGATTGGGTCTGTCTAGAAAAACAACCAGTAACAAAAGTGAAAACAATTTTTTGAAGCTCATTAGGAAAAACAAACCAAAGTCATATATGTTAATATATTTAAATGAAAGTCGTGGTAAAAACATACATTTTCCAGCAGGAGCCTCACGGACGTCTAATCTACACTAGTAAAGCAGTTTTCCTTTAAAATCAGTAAATGTGAGTTTTTTTTAATTAATAAGCATTCCATACAGAATTATTTTTAATTCAATTATTTATATAGTACCAATTCACAATCTAAAGGCATTTTACAGGGACAGACAGTGAGATTGGTTGAATTCATATATATCAGGGATGTCAATAGTAAAATAGAGTAAATAGTAAAATGGAGTAAAAAGAAAGAAATCTGTTGTATTCTCTCTCATGGTTCTTAAATATCTGCATTTTCCCCTGTGTCCATTCAACTGAAAAATATGAATAAATGAAATAAAGTACAAAAATCTATGGCACACAGACAGAACAATACTTCCTTCGAAGAAAAATAAAGTCTTGTACAAAGAAATGTAAAAATATTGTGATAAATCACGGCAGCGGACCCAGAATTCAGCCAGAGGTTTTTAAAAAAAGGAATTTATTAAACAAAAAGCAGAGCAATACCAAAAAGGACTGAAGAATCAAAAGGACTACAGGTGTCAGCAAAGACTGATTGAAGCCAAAATAAAAGGAGCCTGGATGGAAGGAGAGTGGAGCTGATCCTGCAGGTGAAAGCGAGGGGCAGGTGGGATCCGCACGCCAGACACAGAATACCGGGAGGTGAAAAGACGGCACAGGGCAGAGGTCTGCGCCTGTAAGTAGTGCTCCGTCTCGATCAGAGTCTTGTGCGGATCCCACCTGCCCCTCGCTCAGCAGCGTGTCCGTCTCTATCACCTGCAGGACCAGCTCCGCCCCCTCCTGAGCGCAGTTAGTAAACTCCGCCTCCTTAGACAAGCCGAGCTTGGATTGTTAAAGGGGGAAAAGCAAAAACCAAAACAATCCAAACATGCAAAGCGTAACAAAAAAAAATTAATAAAAGAAAAACATGTTTTCCCCTGGGAATGTAGTGTTGGTGCATGCAGCACAACCGCAGCAACACTATATTCCCCACAATGCAACGGTAGCCCGCAAAGTCACAGTGGCCTGTGGGCCAGTTCTAATGGTAATTAAATATCATCCAAGGGGCCATGGATAAACAATTTGCTGGCTGGATGACTTTGACATATGTGATATATATATATATACAGATTTCATTTTTAAATGTGTGGACAGGGACATTATTGATGCATCTATCAGCACCCCTAAATGTTGGCTGGAGGTTCACGTCACCAACTGGAAAAGTTTCATTAGCTGTCCAGATTCTTTCTCTATATCTGTGGTTTTATTCTCTCTTTGCGTTGAGATCAGCAGCATTCTGAATTAAACTTTATTAGCAAAGTAGGTCACAGGATCAGACAATGTCATAGTGGAAACAGAAAGGCAGATAAAACATGTAGCAAGTAATAGATTTTCTACAAGTTTAAGTGGAAATAGGTCTGTTTAACATGACCTCATTCTGAAGTGAATCATGAGTTTAAAGTTTTATGACCTTCTTATCTCGGATCTCATTAACTCAATTGTTTTCTAGCTTATTTATAGGCAGGAAATATTCCCACAAGATGAGGAGGATATTTTGGATCGTCATTAAATAATGGATTCAGATTAACCCTATTCAGAGATTTACTATATTCTGTCATTCACTATGTGAAAATGTTTTGATGTCTTAGAGGAATGCTGACCTTAAACTTTGTGTTTACTCCTACCCACTTTGCTTTTAATACCACGGTCATCTGCTTTAAACTTGGAGGGTTTATAGCCTGTAGTTTGCCTGGTTCCTCAGAGACCCCATCCAATCTGCACCTCACATCCAAACCAACACTAAAATGTCCCTCCTTGAGAAAGCTTTCATTGTCACATGTGGAGCAAATTTCTTCACGTTACTGCTGAGCATTAATATCTGCTTTCCAAACGGTGAGATATATCCAGATCAATGAGAATGTCATCATGTTTAGCGGTGCAGGGGAACGGAGATCTTTTTCACTTGGCTTATTGGTGCTGATGTAAAAATGTTCTCTGTATGAAAATATGACTCCTCTTTCAGTCTATAGGGGAAAAGAAAGATCAATATTCCTGTGATTGCTTTTGAATTAATATTTCAGGGTGAACTTTTCTCAATAGAAGTTTGCATCCAAGCACCATAAACCCCCACTGTGCTCCATCTCTCCTTGTTGTGGCTTCTCAGCTGATTGGATTTGGAGTTTTTTTGTTTTGTTTGTTTTTTATGACAACAGGACAACCGGTGAAGAGAAAAGTTTTTTCATACGCCTTTAGAGTATTCCACCATCTTGCTTCTGCACTTTGCAGATATACAGTACTCAATGTTCCCAGGGGAATGGCCTTGCCGTAAGAACAAAGCATTTTCTTGCATCAAAAACCTGACAAACATCTAGGAGTATGATACAGGATATGGACCATAAGCTGGATCTGCAACACTAAAGTAGAGGAAAACATATCAATCTGAAAAAAAGCAGTTATAGATTTTTTTTTTTTCCTCAGTTTTGACCTTGTAGTTTGTGCTTTTATCATTACACTGAGGAACCTGCCCCAGTTTGACATTTTAAGATCAAATTTATCATGTGAGGACTTAGACTACATGTAGATCAAAGCTGCTGTTTAACAAGAACATCCTTTGAATACGAGATTGTCCTTCAGCGAGAGAAAGGAAACACGTTAATAGCTAGCATTATCCCTCATTTTCCCAGATGTTTTTTTTTTCTTGTTTACCAAGTAATAGCAGTTCAGCATATTATCCTGCCTATTTCGCTGCAGCTGTCGGAGCCCAGTGATTGTGTTGAATAATTTCTGCAAGCAAAGGTAATTTGCAGGCCTCAGGCAGCAAATGAGTTCAGCGGGCAGAAGGTGGGATGTCCTCTTTGAACAAGGTCTCAGCGTAATATGACAGCCGTTAATCTGTGGAGAGGACCCCTTGGCTGGCGATTTGATTTGGGTAGATGTGAAGCAGTTGTCTGGTATTTGGCCTTAATGAGTCTCCCATTAGCATTCAGAAAGCCTTTGAATGATGAAATCAAACATGTTTAAAACATGCCATTAATCTGCTGGGATTCTGTTTTACATCCTCACAGAACATCACGTACCCCATTGATCTACCAAAGGTTGGCCGATGGAAGGACTATCCTCTGTTTTTTGGGACGGCCATCTTTGCCTTTGAAGGGATCGGAGTGGTAAGTGAAACAGCGGCGATAAACAAGCCAAAAAACAGTAAAAAGAAACACTTCAGCAAACTCTTTTATTGTTAAGCTGGCAGTGAATATAAATGATTTATCTTCTAATATTTAATCTCAATGTCAACTTATTCTTAACTTAATAAAAAATCATGAAGCACCAAAGCACAGCAAATTAAGATAAAAATAATTTGTCTGAAAACAAATGCAAGTCTTTTCTTATTTAAAGTAATTAGGATATCAAGCTCTTTTTAATCCAGAAGTGAAAGGCTCTTATCAGGATGTGTAGATTATTCCACTGATCCAGATAAGATCACCTGCGCTGATCCAACCGTAGCAGCTGGTTGTTTTAACCTTACTGTGTTTGTGGATGTGCAGATTTTTATAATGCAAACCACTGAATCACACCTGCTATTCATGCTTTATTATAAATCTGGAAAGCTGGAGCAGATACTTCCGTTTTGAAATCAAAGCGAACATCAGGAAAACAACAGGAATGAAATGTAGAGTTTTTTGTATTCAAACTGATGAGAAATGGACCAAGCCGGCAAAAATAAGGATATCTGACAATGGAATAAAACTGAACATCTCTATGCAGCAAGTAAACATCGAATGATGCAAGTTAGCATGTTAAATACGATTGCTAAGGTCTGAACTATGATGGTAAGATAACATGATCAGCAGTAGTTGGGTTATCCTGGTCTGCAGTGATGTGGTTCGATCCAACAGATGGCGCTAGCTTCAGTTGTTTTAACAAGTCAATGCTTGTTCAAAGCAAAGTGTGCATTACATTTTGATTAGTGTAGGGCCACACAGCAGGCCATCCGAGTGTCTACACTGGTCATAATCTTCCACCTGATTGGTGAATGAAAACTTAAGCACGCTGTGGTTTTTTGCTGACCTCCGGATCCAATTTCAACTCTTCCTGCTACCGTACTTGTTTTTTTTTCTCTCTCTTTTTTTTCCTTCTGCATCACAGTGACCAACCTTCACAGGGCTGGAAATGTTTAATGCTTTCTGCATTTTGCTCTGACTGTAATTTGAATACATTCACAAAATGTGATTAGTTTTCCCTCTAAATTAATGCACAATGTCCCAGTTAGATGTTTGGAGACTTTCTGCACAGAGGCTCTATTTGCTTGTTAGAGCAATTTATGCAAAGTGCCTTTTTGGGAGCTTTTGGAACTAGACTGATGCACAACTGGGAATTGCACAGATTTTGCTGATGGGAAACTGGTTTTAACAGGTTAGGGAATTTAATTTGGGAAGGGTTATGATTGCATTTCCAAACTCTGTGGTTTTCCTTTGTATGGGAAGAGACATTAATTTAACCATTGGGGAAAAAAACGAGCGGACAAATTTCACGGTTTTTAAAGATCAGGGCCTAAGAAAGCTGTGCAAAAACAAATGTGTGCAAACCTTAATGAACTTTTTTTTTTTTTTTACTTCTTTTCCCTGTTAGTCTCTTCTTTGTTTAAAATCCAGTGACTGGAATCGGACATGCTTTAATCCAGCTGAGATTAGATCTAAATAATTTTAGAACCTTAAGGCCAGATCATTATTTCCTGATATGAGAAACTGAGAACTGGAAGCTGTTGGCATAATTTTTTTAATGATAGCTGTAAGTAGCCCATTTTGTCTGTGAACCTTTGCCAGATTCTTCTTCCAAATCCGTGTTTTATTCAATTTAAGTAGATAAAATTTACTTCTTCTTCTATTTCTTTTTTAGAGGAAGAAGCAGCAGGTCCAAATGTTGTCTCTTTTCCTTTTAAGGACAGCTGATTGCAGGTTTCTTTGGCCAAACCTTCCTCTGCTTTATACATTGAAAAAACTGGAATCTAAATGAGTCATTTTGTTATTAAAATAAGAGCATTTTTTTCTTGTATTGAGGAGGTAAATGAGACACTTTTCCAATGAAACAAGACATTGTACATTTAAAATAAGAAAAAAACTATTGAATCCTCTTATTTCAAGTGCATACTATCTATTTATCTTATTTTAAGAGTAAAAATACCCATTTGCAAATCATCTCATTCACCTTCTCAAATTATGGGGAAATACACTTAATTTAAGAAATTTAAACTTATTTCTAGATGGTTTTTGCATTGCATGACACCAGCACAGAAGGCTGGGATGAATTTAACGCTTCTGAACATATTGATGCAGAGCAGGGGAGCCATGGGCATTTGGGTAAATGTCAGCGCAAATTAGGCCTTTCTGTAATGTCTAGATGCCCAAATAAAGAGATCACAGCTTTTGAACAAGAGAGGGTTTGATGGAGTTTCTCACTGTTAGCTTTAATGTTGACTTTAAAGAAAACCCTGAAATGTTTGAGCTTAAGGCCTGATAAAAAGCTTTTAATGTTCCAGTTTCTTTGTGTCTTTGTGCTCCGGAAGGTCCTTCCACTGGAAAATAAAATGCAAAAGCCGCAGAGATTCACCGAGGTTCTGTATCTGGGCATGGGCATCGTCACGTTCCTCTACATCAGCCTCGGCACCATCGGCTACATGTGCTTTGGAGAGCACATAGGTGGAAGCATCACTTTAAATCTGCCAAACTGCTGGTAAGACGACAACAACTGGAGAATATGCTGCTGTTTTTTCTTTTATCAGCAATAACAGACCTTATCCATAATTTAAACAGGCTGAGATGGAGAAAGAATCTAATATAAGAAATCATTGCTTCGTTTTAAGAGGAAACACTAGGATAAAAATATGAAACCTTGTTGTTCAGGACAGTAAGCTGCTGCCAAGAAGATTTCCTATCTTATTGTAATAATTTGATTTATATTTAGATTTACTGCCTACTTATTAAACCAGGGAGAATGGCTCAGCCATGTGGCGGTCAGACACGACAAAGCCTAGACTGAGATGCCCTCAGAGGCCTCAGCTGGGAGAGGTTTGTGAGCTGATGTTACCTGAGATTAGCATCAATATATGAGAAATAAAAAAACCTCCTTTAAAAACGTTCGTAAATGCATTCTTGTGGCTCTATAAAAGTTTTTTTTTCCATCAGTAAAGTTAAAAACCAAATTAAAGTAGGCCTCTCTACTCTGCTTTGGAATTAATTGGATGTATAACATATTGTCCAGGCTTGAGTAAGTTTGGGAAGATTTTATATTTCCAGACGTGCTGATTGAATAATCCCTAAAATGCTTTAAAATGTGTTCAAATGTCTGCCGTCCATCCGTCTGTCCATCCTTGCTGTTGCCGTCTATGGACTCCAGAGTTTTAAGTTGAAAACCTGTCCGCTTTTAGAACTAACTTCTGTTAACGGATTGCATAGTTTGATGTTTATACATAAAAAATTTGAATATTATTAATGTGAGCGTGGAAACTGAAAGAGAAATCCACTGTCCTTCCACGCCAACCTGTACTGTTGGTTTATGGACTCAAGGTTTTCTTCACCAGCTGTAGTAAGCAGGAGTGAGAAGAGTGTACCGTAACTTTCGGACTATAAGCCGCGACTTTTTCCCCATTTTTCGACCTTGCAGCTTATATAACAATGCAGCTTATCTATGGACACTAGGGTAATACCTAAATCTATGGATTTTACCATCCATCATGTTGACGTCACATTTGCTTCAACACACAAGTACGGTAGACGCACGCGGGAATGCGGAGGTCCTCCGTAAGCAGACTTCTACCGCGAGTGGTGCGAGACAGAACGACAGCGAGAAAGACGGACGTTGCGAGCGCAAGAGAGTTTGTGTTAAACATCAAAAACCTGCGGCTTATAGTCCGATACGGCTTGTATATGTACAAATCATGCAATTTAGCTTCTGCGGCTTATATTCAGGTGCGGCTAATAGTCCGAAAATTACGGTAAAAATGGAAAGAAATTAGTTTTTCATCTAGTATAAATGTTGAAACTCATCTCTGAGTCTAACTTAAGACATGTTAGACTCAAGGGAGAGATTTCAAAGCAGCAATGCTCGGATTTGAGGAACTTTGTTACTTTGGGGATGCTGGCCATTTTCAACTCTGAGAACTCCCATTTTTGTCTTTAAATATAAATAAAACACAAACTGAGAGCTCCATGCTATGTCGGATGACCTGTTGTATTCTAGATTCAGATGCATTTAAAATCCCTCCTTTATGCTAGAGGAGTTAATTATCCTGAGAGCATTGAAGCTTTTTTTTTTTTTTATATATACAATGAACTTTTTTCAGTTTTAACGTTTTCTTTTTCCACAGCTTTGCACTCAGAGTTAATGAAAAATCCTTGGTAAATATGAATAAAGTTGGCGGGATAATTGGCATTTCACAAAAAGAGATGTAATTTTCATCTTTTTTTTTATTTTTTTCATTTTGGCCATCAGTCCGATTCCCTCTGCTGGAAGAGTGCCCACAGTAATGGCAGTGGAACGGTAGACTCTAACTGGATTTGTTTCCTCATTACTTGCTGCTATCATCACAGCTGCAGGAGAGTGACGGCCATTGAAGGGCCTTTTGTGACCGGAATGATGTTGTGTTTTAGCCAAATAGATTGGCTGTTCAATGAGGTTGAAAACTCAAAGACTTTAATTAGCAGCATCTGTCTGAAACAGTCAACAGAGACCTAGTGATCTTTGATGTTGCTGTTTTTTTTTTCTTTTATTACACATTGTAGAGTCCTCACAAAAATACAGGATTTGTGTTGAGTTTATCACCTCTGTTCCATCTGCTTACAGGAAGTACCAGGCTGTAAAACTCCTGTACTGTTTCGGCATCTTCATCACTTTTGCCCTGCAGTTCTACGTTCCTGCAGAAATCCTGATACCGTCGGTTTTGGCCCGTGTGACGGAGAGATGGCAAAGGACTGTTGATCTGTTGCTTCGTGCACTTCTGGTCATCATCACATGTAAGTAGAATATATTCTCTATGTATTTACTTGTAGAACTTTCCAGCATTTTTACTGAATCTCTTCCATTTTCTTTGATTTGCTTTTCATCGTATAAAAGATGCCATAGGATGTTTATGACCAGCATTATTACCACTATGAATATACTGAAAGTGTATTCACCTTACAATCATGTTGTTTTTTCACTTGATATACGGTATATTGCTAAGTTTTTATGCTCAAACCTTTTCAGTGACTCCTGTAGAATGCTGCTGCATTTTATTCATTATGCAACATTCAGTCGCATCTTTTTCCCTTTTTGTTCCTTTTTGAAGCAGTTTTCTGCATTTCCATATTTTGTTTATGTATGTAGTTCATTTGAGCAGAACTAAAGCAAAAACAAAAAGCATGATGATTGGCTCTTTGAAGGAATCCAACCCTGCACACAAACTTGATTTTCTGTGATGAACACTTCAAAGTTTTCAAGTCTTGAAGCTTTAAAAACTACTTTCAACAACCCCTCCTTTATTGTAGTTGAAATACTTTAAAGAAATAAGGAACAGATGTGTTCTCAGAAGGTTGTTTGTTTGATTGTAATGTAAAAGCTGTCTTTCATCCCTCTTTAAGGACAGTATTTAGCTGATTAACTGGTTTAGCCAAGTGGACGAAGCAAAAGGCATCCTTTTAAAAGTATCGAGCGACTTCAGAAGGCACTTTAAGACTAATTACTTCCAGGTTTTCCCACAAGTCCAAAGCACTAGAAGAATCCTGCTGGTATTTTCACCTTAACTCCAGAGATCAGGAGCATTGATTAGAGTTAAAAACAAAAGATTTATTAGGAGGACAATTACAACGGCACCTAAAATGTGCAGCAGTGATTTGCTGTAAACATAATTTAATCAGTTGAGCTGTAAACATTCTAACGCTAACAATAATCTCAGATAATTATGTTTTAAAAATATGTTGCTGACATCCTTTGATAAATCAGCTGAAATAAATTAAAGTCATAGAATGCAAAAACGAGTTTAAATTGTCATAGATGATTAACGATAGTTCAGTGGGTGAAATGGACGTACAGAGAAGTTCAAACCCCATCAGCTCCTCCTTTCTCTGCAAATCTCACAATTCTAAACTCCCACCATAAGACGGGCGAATTCAAATGAAGCCCTGAATTTATGTCAATTCTGGGATGTTGCCTTATGTGGTTGAGGCCTGTACTTTTGTCACGCCCTGAAATTGACATACAGACCAGACCACTGGTTCACTGGCCCAAGAACATGAATAGAAGTAGATGTGAGACACCAGTTTAGCTGTTTAGCCTAAAGTTTGGTTTATTTCTATAAGAATTTGTATTTGTCCATCTTCTATTTATCAGATTAATTGAAATATAAAGTCTGGAATGTAAATGTTTAGGGCCTGTTAAAATACATTTCACTACAAATACTAATGTTTAAATTATTATTCAGATGGTGCCTTCAGGTCCTAAAATTATCCGTTGTGTCTGCTGCTCCTTCTCATTGCTTTGCTCCACTTGTGTATTTTGGATTTTTTTTTTCTTATTTACTGCTTTGTGGCTCAGCTCAGCTCTGCTAGCGGCTCCAACACATTCAGGTACGCTCTGCTGTCTGATGACGGCTGACGTTCTTCTTCTGACTCGGCTTCGTCTCTCCCAGATACTGACTGAAATATATCTGTGGAAACATCCCATTCTTTACCACTCTGTTTTATTTAAAAGGAGACTTGAACCTTAACAATTGCTCATCTCAGCTGCATAACATTTATTATAACAATACTTGAATTTATGATAAAGAAATAATTTCTCAAAAACTTTTGCGCATATTTCTCATTCTTGGTATATTATGTTGTATATTTTCAAGCAGAAATGTATTGTTAAATTCGTCACCACCTCTTTACCCTCTATGTAAAACTTTATTAACCCCTCCTGGTGCTTTTACCACAGTGATGCAATCTGCAGGTTATTTATTTGAGCTAGAAACACAAATATTACTCACATTAGTCAGCAGTGCAACCTGAAGAACAAGGAACCTGTTCCTATTGAACGCTTTATTTTAAATGTAATTAATGCAGCCGTAAAGATGTAGTATGTAGGAAGCCTAACAATTGTGTTTTATTAACTAGATGTTTTTTATTCTTTTTGTTTAAATGAAGCATCATATTTCCAGGAGGATTCATAAAAAGAGTATAAAATGCAAACAAACTTTAGTTGTTGTTGTGGGAAAAAAGTATTCAACTATTCACCCTAGTTAAATAAACGGAGATCGATGGATTTCACTCAGTCGGCACATTTATTCATATCTTTGCAAAGAGAGAACAGTTCATCATACAGCCCTTATGGCACAGCATTCTGCTCTGTTCTGATCTGGGCAGCGTTCATTCCCCCTTACTTACAACAATGGAAAGTAGTCAGAGTCAAAACAAATTACAGACACTTTGGTTAAACAGTAACATGTTATGAATAAACCTTGAGAAAGATTCTGGTTTGTAATGGGAAGAAGCTATGTCTGGTCTACAAACACCATCCTGCAGGGAACTGTGTGGCCTTCAAGGGGAAACAGACTGAGTGAAAACTTTTATAGTGAGTAAATGGGATAAATTAATATATAATGGAAGAAAAATAAAAATTTTCAGACAACAGTTGTCAAAAGAAAAACAGGAATAGTGATGGTATGAATCACGCTCAGGTGTGACTGGGATCGTGTTAACTGAACGGACAAAGATTTCATTTTACTGTGAGCTTGTCTGGAACCTGCTCAAATAAATAAATCTGTTAGAATGGGATTCTGTGAAAGCTTCAAAAGTTGTCCAGCCCCCTGTTGTCAATGCCCGTCCATAGAACCTGACAGAGGAACACTTGGTTCTCAGTTTAAATCCAGAAATGTCCTCCTCTTATCTCATTCTGAGCTCATTTATGTCAAAGCAGAAGTGGAAAAACCATCTTCTGGTTGTACCAGTAGGATTTCATTTAAGAAATGATGGCCTCTGCTTGCTCCAGGCTAAAGTGGAAGAGCAGGGTCATTCATCTCTTTAGAGCCACACAGGTCATCATTCATAATGCTACACAGAGGCATTAGTACAAATGACATAAATATCTCCCACATCTGTGAAGGCACCATTATGTTTGAATAAAATCAGGGTTTTTGGAGATCAGTGAAGTAAACCACTTTGATCATTCTCATCCAGCCAGA